GTTAACTGTAAACATAATGTATTTACCTAACGTACCACTTATATTTTGAAGAAGAACTTCAAGAGTTGAAGCAGAGCCTGAAATAATGGAAGCTTTTTTATCTTAATGCCCTGCAGCTCCTGTTCCCTGCTAATAGCTTGTACTTTTGTTTGATGAAGAAGATTCCTTAACTCAGGTTAATAACAGAGTGGGAGCAAGTTCTGGTGACATGCCAGACTCTTCTAAATAACAATGCTGATTGTCTCCCAGACAAAAACATCTATCAGCTAAAACTGCTTGACTGTGCCATGGATGCCTGTATTAATCTTGGACTTTGGGAGCAAGCTTTGCATTATGGCAACAGGACACTGGAACCATACAGGTAAGATCTGTGGTGAGATTATTTTATTCAACTGGTCCATGGCGATGGTTCCCTCATTAAAGGCTAGATTGTTTTATGCTTTGGAACGTGCTTAATGAATGCTCATCATTGTTATTCCTAAAAGTATTTGGTGCATACCTTCAACCTCAGTTTCCTAGTATCCTGTGTGGGTATATGGAATAAAAATCCCTCTTTGCTTAGTCAGGAGACAAGCAAGAGAAATTTTAGTGAAAACCATAATGCCAGCTCCATTTACACACAGTAGCCCCTGCCAGTTCTTCATTCCCATCCTTTTGTCACAAAAGTTTGCTTGTTTGTAGAGTTACTCTCTCTCATCATCAGCTCACCAGTATCTTACCCAGAACAAACTTGAAGTTGATAGTGGGAAGGTGTACACATGTAGGAGGCTGAGTCAAACTGTGTCGAGTCCACTGAATGAATGCAATTAATTGTGTGTGAGGTGTGAATGAACGGAGAGTGAACAGCCTAATGTTTATTCTGTTGACATGAGGAGGCTGAAAAGGTATTTGACATTGTCTTCCTCATGATACTTGCTGCTGTGCTAGATTCTGGAGGAGTTTCTGACATCGACAGCCTTTTGTATATCAGCAAAGGTCCTGGAGGTACTGAGGTGGACTGATCTTGCTTGTTGTTCCCCTGCTGAATTTAGGTCTTTTGGCTCTGGGCCTGTTAACCTTTCCAGGAGTCACTGGAAGGCAGAATTTCTCTCTATTGGCACAGGTCCTGTTCACCATATCATTCATTCTATCAGCATAAGCTGAAAATAAGCTTCACAGTGCAGCCTCTGTTTTCTATGTTGTCTGTATCATGTGAGCATACAGTAGGAGTTGACAAAAGGCAAAACAGTGCAGGTTACTGCAAATGTGAACATCCAGTGCCTAATGCATTCTTCTTCTTCTACTGAGTAATGTCCCCTTACCATGCTGTCTGTGAATGAAGCTCAAACCATGAATTTAGATAGAACCCATCAGTGAGGTCTTCAGTTAGAAGCAAAAGATTTCACATACGTTGTGGATGATCGGAATAGCAGAGAAGTCAAGCATGTGTTACAGATATGACTTGTTACAGCAATAGAGCATGAGTGCTTTGAAATATTCCCATTCCTTAAGGGCAGAATTCATGCCATATGCATCTCACAAATCCCACTGAACCTTTCAAAATAGGCCTTAAGTGGAAATTTGGTAACACATAGGACTTGTGCCAGCCCTCTGCAGAGGGGTGAATTTCACCCCAACCCAATATTGTACCTGTTTGAATGTTCCCTTTTAAAATCCTCCCTCATGTTTTCTCTCATAACTTGCTAATACTTACCTTCAGGCCATCAACATGGAGTGGGTTTCTGCATGCATTTTGCAAAATAATGATTACAGTGAGAGAGTGTAACTATCAGTTCATTTAATAAAATTTCCCCTGCTTGTTCAGTGGTGTGTACTGTAGTTTTCAAACCATTTAATACAGTAGGATTGGGGTTTTCCCCCCACCCTTTACATTAGCCGGCAATTTTTACTGAGATGTTACTTGCATGAGAAATTTGACATCTTTTGCACCTTGAGGAAGTTGTCCGTAGTCTCTGTAGGTCCAAAAAGCATTCCCTGAAGAAGGAGATTTTCAGTTGTAGTTCTCCTCGTTTTCCCTTCAAGCCATGA